GAAGAAAGCAATATCGCCGAAACATCTGGCCAATAAAGGAGGTCTTGAAAATCTTGGATGCAAAATCAGTGAAAACTCAGACTCATTCGTACAGTATGCCGACATTGAAAGTCGAGCATGTACAGCTCCTCTAGCAATTTGAAGGGGAACCAATCCAAGCACAAAAAAAAGAAAAATCATTCGAGTGCGCGCTCTGTAACCACGTGGGAGCGCTTTTCGTCTGACAGCGCTATATCCTCCCATATAAGTGTTTAGTTCCTTGAGTCCCCGGAATCAGCTTGATTGGTAGATGTCCTATGTCTGTCGTCTCTTTCCTGTTTCGTCTCTGTCAACCCTTTGTCGTCTGTTCTCTCGTCCAAGCGCCCGGTGTGTTTCTGTTGTGAGCTTGTATTATTTAGCGCTTTTTAGAATTTCTTATTCCTTCTTCTTTACTGACGAGTCATCCAGCGACTACGGTTTCGTACCTGAAGTCAATTAGCTCTGTGCTCAGTCCTTTATCTCTGGTAGGTTTGCTCGCTGCTATACGTTTCGTGAATGTCGTCAGCATACCAGCCATTCTGTATACGTCGAGGACTATAAGCTGCCATTACTTGCAGTTTAAGCTTTCTCTAATTCAAGATTCTCTATCGCAAATCTGTCCGCTTTGCCTAAATTTGTTTCCCTGTCTTCATTTCGCTTCTATAGATAAACCTAATCCGGACCTGAACTCGGACGAGTAGTCGCAGAGTTCCTTATTTCAGTAGTCGTCATGAAATGCAACGTTTCGACACGATCAGTCTACCGGGCCGACGGAAAATCAGCCATTCTCGAAGTCCTAACGGGACCCTCTCAAGGAACACGTTCTCTAAAAAGTAATATATTTGAACTTTTTAATAGCCTGTTTCCTAGAGTATTAGGTGCTCCATCACCATCATCCATCGTCTTTTAATCAGGGATAGGCCATAAGCTCCTGGTACCATGTTGTAAAATTATTAGGTTGAGGAGAAAGTTCGTAGCGTGTTTTATTTTCTTTTTTATGAAAGACTTCGTTTTCTGACCATATCTATAATACTCATTCGATAGAGCTATTCCTGCTCTGCAAAACTGCGGTAATGGTCTTTTTGTTGACTACTTTTTTGATATCCTCAGGCTCAAAAATGAAATATCTCGAAGGAAAATAATCCTTTTGGGTGTTGTTAGCCGCCTTCAAAGTGGTTGTTTTTCAGTAGTGGTCGGTATCACTTACAAAAATCGAATACGGCTGTAAATATCGAACAAATGAGCATGCACGACCTTGACGACAAACGACATCGACGACGGAAATTACGAACAACGGCGTCTGAAAGCCCTGCCAGAGAATTCAAAGGTGCTGATAGCAACTATTCCGGACTCTGAACCAGAATTTATTTATAACCTTCCGGATGTTTCCGTCAAGAGCTTTTTGATTTTCTATAACATGAGCTTCGTAATCGGTAAACTTTCAAGGTGGCATTCCGGTCCGAGCACATCATGATGATGGTGCTACGGAGTCGAAGGTCTACTCAGCGTCTTCGTTCCATGAAATTCCTCATGAAAGGCGGTAAGTGAATAGGCTGAAAGACATGGTCTATGTTGGTAGCATGGGCGGAGTCAGACCTACCGTTGTTCCTTCCTCATGGTTGCGTCTCCCTTTTCTTATTGAAAAAGGGTACAATTAAAAAAGAGTACAGTGGTAGAACTGATTCTGACCATTTGATTAGCCTGGACTGTGCCGTTGACTATTTGCAGTCGTTCTCATTATAGACGCTGGAACTTATCAGGAGTGCCGGCTTTGGCGTGGCGCCAACCCGCTCTCCACCTACTGTTGAAGCGACAACAGCTGGTGGGAAACGGGTGGCGCGGCCCCAAACCCCTCGTCTGCCGCAAAAACCACTATGTTATTCAAATGTAATGATGTGCAGTTTACCGACTCTTTCCCTGTTTCAGAAGACGAAAACCTGATGAGGGCACATCCAATGTGCCGAACGTGGTGATTTCACGGAGTCGTGACGATGAGGTCAAAGCACACAGCGACGTTGAAAGGACCGAAGAGACCAGCGTGCAGGTGAGCTCCAATGTTCACTTCATTTCTTGTTCATTCATCTTGGAAACGCGCATTTCTGGTACAATTGTGGTCACCACTTCCTTCACTGCTCCTTATCCTGTTTCTTGCCGCTTATGATTCGGGTTTCTTCAATCTTTTGGTGTGATTGGGGGGGGGGACGTAAAGTTTTCAGAGACATTGAGATTTGGCTTTTTTGTTGCATGAGCTGATGTTTTACCGAATATATCCTCCAACGCTGTTGATGTACTCATATTAG